AGGAGACAGCCACCCTGGCTGGGGTGAGGCTGCCTGCAACTGGCCTCCAGCTTCCCTGGTGCCCCGCCTCTTCACCTGACCACTCTCTGCATCCCTGCCTGGTGGGCCCTTCCTGCCCGTCACCACTGTCACAAGTCCAGTCCTGGTCTCTTGTGTACCTCGTTCCCACTGCTGTGTGAATGCAGCAGGGCAGCACCGCTGCTCGTGGGCATAGACAGGGACATGCAAATAGTGATTATTTTGTGACCCCCCCTTTCCTCCTGCCGGCTGCTCCTGAGGGTGATGAGGGAGGCAAGGGGAGACCAGTGACTGTCATGTGCAGGTGGACATGGTGCAGACTCGTGAGCTCCGTGTGTGTTCTGCGCTGTCCTTCCTCGCCCGGCTGCTGCTGGCCACTCAAAAGCTTTCCTGGCAGCTCCAGCCTCCTGAGCCCTACCAGGTGTCAAAGCTCCCTTGGTCCCCTCCATCTGGGGTATTGGCAGCTTGTGGGAGTGAGGATGAGCTCTTGGCCTCCCCATCCCTATTGTGCTGGTACCCAGAGGGGAAGAGACTGGCAAAGACAGGGGCCAAGCCAGATGTGGACCCAGCACCCAGCTCAGGGCTGCCCTGTGGAGGGGGTCACTATCTGCCACTTAAGAAAGGAGAAAAGGAGACAGGGAGGCGCCAAGCCTCACACAGTTCTGGTCTCCGACTGGTCCTAGCCCCCAGCTGGGGACCCCGTGGAGACCCTTTCCTCCCCAGCATCCACTGCCCGGTTCCTTTGTGGGTTCCTCTGCCTGCTCCTGGCCCTTGCCTCCTGAGTGTGGCCAGGCAGCTTTGTCAGGACAATGGCCCTGACTCACTGTGGAAGATGTCCTGGAGCACACAAGACCTGAAGCACCTATGGTGGCTTCATAGGTGCCAGGCCCACACTGAAGACTGTCCCAGTGGCCAGCTCCTCCGAGGAAAGAGAAGGCTGAAGTGCCCCTGGCTCAGTGGCCACCACAGCCTGACTGGACCCGACTCCCAGCCCAGCCTCTCTGCACCAGCTCTGCTTACTTACTGCTTTTCTCTCCACCTCCCTGCCTCCACAGAGGATTTCCTAGATTACTCCCTCTACACTTATGCAAAGCCAAGCCCACTGAAAGTCTACTCTGGGTAAGGAAGATGTGATTCCCACCAAGCAACAGTGAGGGACTCCCTTTCCTGGCACTCTAGATGCAAAGCTGTTGGCCAACATTCCTCCGGAAACAGGGGACCCAGACAGCAATGTCAGCCTGTGGCATTGCAGCCCCCTTGCTCTAGGCATGGATATTTCTGATTTCAGAGACTGTTTCCAGCATAACAGTCCATCAGGCTAGACCTTCCATGGCCTCTGACCACCAGCCTTCCAAACCTAAAGGTGAACATTTATTCTTCCCCTCAAAACATCCCTTAGCAGCTAAGCTTGCTGAGACCTTGATTTAGCCATCTCTTCTCCCTCAAGGGCACAACTGATCAGCAAGCCTTCTATGTATTCAACCTGGTTGATATTTAGAAAATAAATGGACAGGCTGATCAGAGGTCTGCCCTTCAGGCTGCTGCTAAACCTCACTCACTGCGGTGTGGCTGTAGAAGCTACTATCTGAACCAAATGCATCCACCTTGTCCATGAGGACGTTGTGAGATTTCACTGAGCGTCTTCTGGAATCCAGATAATGTAGGTCAAAAGCATATCTTGCACTACTAAACTAGTCATCCTGCTGGAAGAGGAACTGGGATGGATAGAGTACTTTTCAAACATGTCCACAAATTCTTCAACACTCTTCCCCCATCAAGAGGTGGTGTCTGATTTCCTTCCCTTGAATATGGGTGCAGTGGAATGTGTGATGCTGCATGACTTAGGAGGCTAAGGCACGAAAGGCAAGACAGCTTCTCACCTGCCCTTTCCTGAGACTCTCCCTCTTGGAACTCAGCTGCCATGTTGTGAGGAAGCCCAGGCCACTTGGAAAGGCTGTGTGTGAGTGGTCTGGCTGACAGCCCACACTGACCACCAGGCATGGGAGTGAGCAAGACTTGGAGATGACTTAGCCCCAGACAACTTGTGACTGCAACTGTATGACAGACCCCCTCATCTCCACCAAACAAGAACCACTTAGCTAAGCCCAGTTGGCACCAGAACCATGACAGAGAATAATAATAATAATAAATGATTGTGTTGTTTTATACTACAAAGCTCGGGTGGTTTGTTTCACAGATATTATAGGAACGATTGCTACGGCAACTCTTTCGATTAAAGATTCCATTTCCTTTTTTCACCTAAGTGCTTTTAAACCATCAACCTACTTGGCTATTCTAGGATTAGGAGAAGTCCTACTGGTTAATAGTTTCGTGAATCTGCCTCTTTCCATTTTCAAGAACCTAGACCATCTTGTGTGCATGTTACTAGGTTGTATGTGTGCGTGCATGTTTGTGTCTAGTTTGTGTGTGTTTGGTTTGTGTATATGTGCATATAGTGTATATATGTGTCTGTATGCCTAGTTTGTGTATACTTCTGTACCTAGTTTGTGTGTTTGTACATCTAGTATGCGCATAAATTTAATGTATGTGTACATGTGTGTCTAGTTTACATGTGTGTTTATAGTTTGAATGTATGTACATAGTTTGTATGTGTGTGTATCTGGTTTGTGTGTATGTGTGTGTGTCTAGTTTTCTGATTATTTTCCACCATTACTGGAAAATTGTTGAAGACTGTTGTAAGCATACCACTAAGCCCTTTCAGAATCCTTGGATATAATAAATTGGGAGACCAGAGCTCATTTTTAACAATAATAATATCACTAACAAGGGTAGGTAGTAGTAGTCTCAGTAAATGTGAGTGATGTGCCGGCACTTCCCATGTGCTGACTCCTCTAATCCCCATAACCCAATACAGTGAGTCTCACTCTACAGACAAAGAAGCCAGTGCACAGAGTGGGTGAGTATTTTGCACAGGTCACACAGCTATGAAAGGTGATCAGACTCCTTAAGCTGTCCTTTCCTACTAAAGAGCATCTTCCTTTTGAGGACATCTAGAGCCAAATAAGAGCTATGTCTCTTCGCAACTACTTTCTGGCATTCCTCATTATGATGGTCTGCATGTCTATGTTCCCCCAAATTGATATGCTGAAATCCTCATCCCCAAGGTGATGGTGTTGGGAGGCAAGGCCTTTGGGAGGTGAGGCAGTCATGAGGGTGGGAGCCTCATGAATGGGATTAGTGCCCTTATATAAGAGGCCCCAGAGAGACTCTCATCTTTCCTGCCACACAAGGACACAGCAAGAAGGTGCTATTAACCAGGAAGCAGCCTCACCAGACACCAAATCCATTGGTGCCTTGATCTTGAACTTACCAGCCTCCAGACAGGGGGAAATAAATGTTCAACAGGCTAAGACATTCGCTCGCTGTCCACCATAGCTGGCCAGCCTTCTGAATGTTTCTGAAGACACCCTTGCTGGTCCTCTTGGCATTTCCTGGTAGCCTTAGTTCATCTTCAGCCTGGGCCCTTCCTGACGGCATCCCTGTATCCTGTCCTGCCCTTGGGGCCTCTGTCTTTCTTCCTGGGATTGTTGATGACTGGTCTTCAAGGACCACCAAGCCCTCTACCTCTTTGAGTCTCAGGCAGTGGGATCTCAGTGACTTTTCTGTCTGTACCTTTCAGCATCTGCCCCTCCTACCATCCACAGGTTTCTCCTGGGCCTGCCTTCCCCACTGAGTGCTCCGAGTTGCAGGGATCACTTGGCGTGACCGCCTCAGTTCCTCCAGGGGTGGGTTCCCCCACTCAGACAAGGCCCAGACTCAACTTACTGCAGTGAGATGGGCATAAGGACTCCTAGAAAACTGAGGGTCCTGTGTGTGAGTGGTGATGGCCAGACTCAGTGCTGGGGAGTGCAGTCACGGAACTTAAGGCTGCATACCCTGTGCCTCCATATAAATAACACTTTCCACTGCCCCATCATTTGCTTCACAGTTCACAAAGCTCTTTAACACACTTTCATGAGATCCTCACAGCCTCTCAAGGTGGGCATTATTTCCTCATTCTGAAGGTGAGGAAACAGAGGATTAGGGAGGTAAACTGATTTGCCACAGTCACCCAGCCAGTAAAGAGTGGAGCAGGGGTCCAACCTCATCCTGTGAGTCTCTCACTCCACTGTGCTGCCCAGGCATTCTCAAATCTGCTCAGGTTCCCCTCATGCGGTCTTTAGGCACTTCATGTAGCCCAGGATCCTTCCTGGACTAGGCTGTATTCTTCTCGAGCCACTCAAAGCTAGGTCTAGGTCTCTCAACCTAAGAAGATCATCTTGCGAGAGCTGGGCCCAGGAGGTGCTCAACAAAGTGGTATCCCTAGTTGAAAAGTCCAAGCTCAGAAGCCTAGAGGCAGACTTAAGCCAGCACCTCCTGCTACAGGGGCCTGGGATCACTTCATGAACAGACTTTGTCTGTGTAGGGAGGCTGAGGCAGGAGGATCACTTGAGCCCAGCCATTCAAGGATGCAGTGAGCTATGATCGCGTCACAGTACTCCAGCCTGTGCGACAGTGAGACCCTCTCTCAACAAATAAGAAACCAAAGCAGAAGCGGGGCCCAACTTGCATGAGGTGATGGTGGGGTGTGGTAGGACAGAGAGGGGGTGTAGCCAAGGCTCCTGCCCACCAATCCTCTGTTCTCATTATTCCAACAGAAACAGGCACTGTGCAAGCATTCCCAGGTCCCTCTTTCCCCAAGATGGCCCTTTTTACACACTTGCGTCCCAAAGAAACCCATAACATGGCCTTGCTCACACACCCCCTCCCACCCTGGACCTGCTCCCATCCCTTCCCTGCCCACCTGCGAAGTCCTCCTGCCACAGTTTTTTTACCATGTATGCCATGGACCCAGCCCCCTCCTAACTCCATCCCTTTGGCCCCACCTGCTTCCATCAGTTCCCCTTTCACAGTCCAAGTCTCGTTTCTGCCTTCCATCCCTCCCCAGACCCACCCCTCATCCTGCATGTTTCCTGTTTTACTTGAATTTGTAGTTCTCTGGCAGGAAGTAACCCATCTTGCCATCCTGTCGAGACTGGAAGATCTGTTTCAGCAGATTCTGCTTGCTGAGGCCATATCCATTCAAAACACAGCCCCCAAAAAGGAGCTTCCCCCCGGCAAACATCTGTTGACAGGAAGGAAACAAGGAGAGGCCCTCAGCACATCAGCACAGCAGTGTCCACTGATAAGACAGGCGAGTTTGGAATTTCACTAGGGCAGTGCCACAGACCTCTCAGAGCTTGCGTGGGGAGGCAGGCCTTGGGTGGCTGGGGAAGGAGTCCTGCTTTCCCTGAGTTGCACAGGGAGGTATGGCTGAGCCGAGCCCCTGCCCAGGCCCCCAAGTCAAAAGGGAACCCCACCATCCCAGCCTGGGCAGGGGCTCAGCTCAGCCATACCACCCTGGGCAACGCAGGGAAGGCAGCACTCCTTCCCCTCTGCCTGCTTGGTCACCCAGCTCAAATGCATTTCACATATAGCCCCACAGAGCCCTGGGGCCAGAAAGGTGTTCCCCTACTGTGTACGCACCTTTCAGCTCATCCCACAGAATGGGAGCCACTTGAGGGCAGGGCTCCTACCCCCATAGGTGGGTCCCCAACAAGTAGACACCTATCCAAAGGCTTCTGTGCAAAAATATTCATCACAGCATTATTTGTTATAGCAGAAAAATAAAAATAACTTACATGTCAACAAAAGCAGCACAAATAGATAAAATGACAGACTCTTACGCAGTGATTAAAAATCAGGTGTTACAAACTATATAAGGACATGGGGAAATGCTCACGGTATTTTAATTTAAAAAGAAGAATTGCAAAGAATATATGCAGAAAAAGACTGCAAAGGTCAGACACCAAAATGTTAGCATGCAGTGGCCCTTGCCGATGCCACGTACATATCTGTGGGATGAGCAAAGGAGACTCTGGGTGATCCGATGACATTATTTTCTAAATTGTATTTTCCAAGTTTTCTAAAATGAACATGTGTAAGTATTTACAGTGCACTGTTTTTAGGATAAAGCCCTTTAAAAACAAACAGATGAAGGGAATTTGATTTGCTAGGTTGAATGTCACCGGTCCCTTCAGTCTCCTGGGATGGGGGACACATTGGGTTGGCCTGGGTTCCAGCCCCAGCTGTGTATGCTGGGGGACTCTTGGTCAGTCTTCCTGCTCTCTGGGCCTCAGCCTGGGTGGGGAGAGAAGCCCGCAGCCCTTCCCTTCCTCTCCTCCCTCCTCCTTCTCTGACATGTGATTCTGCAGGGGCAGAGGTGGCTGCTGCTGGGGTGGCAGGCAGTGGATGGCAAGTCTGCTGGCTCACCAGAATCATCCCTGGCACCACAGAGTACTTCTTCATCATCAGGGGAGGGTCCTCCTGCAAGGGGCTGTCCAGGTCATACTGCAACAGGCGGTAGGGGTCATGCCGGCACTACCAGGAGAGAGATATAAGAACTGGTCACCCCATTCCAAGAAGATGCACCTGGATTGCCACATTCCCAGCCAGGCGAGGTTCCCCTGAGTCCTGGAGCCCTGTACAACTCCCTCTCCCCAAGTCCTCCTACTCCAGGGGCCCTTGCATGCACACCTCCCATGATTGTCCTTGGAGGATGTCCCTGGATCTGCTTAGAGCCCTCTATGGGAGAAGGCCATTTCCGAGATGGCTGCTCCACATGTGACGCCTACTAGCCTGACCCTCTGGGGTGTGCAGAATGTGACTGCTCCCTTCCCCTGGGGATGATGCTGCAGAGGTTTGAAGATGGGAACCATGTTCTTGGGTGGACCTGTTTCCAGGCTTTTGAGTCTACTTTACAGCAGCATAAAGAATTCCTCCACTCTCCACCCCCTGCTGGCAAGCCCCTCAGGACCCTCCCAGTCACTAAATCCAGGGAGAGGACCTGAATTGAACCCATACCTCAAGGTAGGGTTTGGGCAATTCAGGGGAAAGCTGGCCTCTCTCCCCTCCTTCTTTCTGCATCATGCCTCAGATCTATTAACACAGCCAATACAATCTTCCTGTTTTATCTGCCTTTATTTCCAGGTGCCTCCAACTATCCTTTCAATCTACAACATGAAACACAGAACCACACCCAGTGTTCTAGCTGTCAGGGAAACAGAAAGTCAGGGAACATCTGTGCATTCACCAAAGACATCTTAATTAGATGCTAGCTTCCAAGTCTGTCCTCCAGGCCTGCTGCCCACTCCTTTATGTGCTTCAACTACCTCAGGCCATGCCCTGTCCTCACTCACGCTGCCCATGGCTGGGCTCGGCCACCTGAGCACTCCGATTGTTTAGGGACAACTATTAATGAACAATGAATAGCGCCATGATAAGTGAAAGTCAACTCTAAGTTCCCCCATGGGCAGGGATTTTATCTGTCTCTACATGGACGGACACACAGAAGGAACTCAATACTTGCTCACTGGATTGAATTAAATTGGAAGTTGGCTCTGGAAAACAAACATGGCTTTGCTGAACAGGATGAGTGAAAAGGCTGTGGCTGAGTCTATACACTTAGACTGAGATGGTCAAAGGGCTACTGGTGTCTGCTCCGAAGGTCTGGAGCACAGACCCAAAGGTGGGCATGCCAGGGGCAGGGAGGGGCCACTCCTGGAAGGAGGGTGTCCACGCAGACACTCCCACCCCTGGTGTACGTGAAAACCCAGAGCTCTGCAGCGGCAAATGGGAAATGGGCAGAGATGGTGGATTCTAGGAGACAGGAGGGCACAGAGGGCTTGAAGGAAGTCACCATGTAGACACCCAGTTCGTGTGCTCATGTGCCATCCTTTGCTCCAGTTGGTCTGGGGTTGGGGCCAGGCTTCAATCTGTGCCAGTGCTGCTGGGAATGACTGCATACTTGGAGGATTACATAAGCCTAATATGTGGGAATGACTCTATTGCAGAGGTGACTAGGTGGGAGTATGTTCCATGGGCCTGGAAACTCCCTTTAGACCTCAACCATAAAACCAACTGGGACCTTGAGCAGTGCTTCTCTCCTGTCCCCCTTTACACAGGCTGCTGCCTTTTCCAGGAACATTCATCGCCTGCCAAAACCCCACTCAACTTGGAAGGCCCTCTGGACCCCCAAGAGGCAGCAGGCACATGTTCCCAGGCTCTTGCGTGCCCGGAGCTGTCCTCTCACAGCCTCACTGGCGGTGCTAGAGTTGCTGCTACACTGGGAGCTCCTCCAGGTCCCCGCTTGCATCTGAGTCCTGCTGGGTGCCCAGGGCCTGGCCCATGCCCAGCACACAGTGGGTACTCACGACAGTCTACAAATATTTTCAGAGCCCTGAGGATTCAGTGGTGAGCACTGCCGGTGCTCTCAATATTCATACCAACAAAGAGTCACAAACTGGAAGGAAAGGACAGTGTCCTGATTTTGTCTAACCAGTCAGAGGAGAGCCTGGTCCTGATGCCATGACATTCATCCTGGACTAGAGGATGAGTGGGAAGGAGAGAAGCAGGAGGAGGGGCGATGTGGCAGATGGGAGAGTACATGCAAAGGCCCTAATGAGAAAGGAGCTGAAGGTGGGTGGCCCCTCAGACAGGTACTCAGCCAGCCCTAGGAAGCGGGGGTCTTCTCAGACTGCCCTGGTACCCCTACCCCTGGCCTCCAGGGCCTCCTCGCTGAGCCCAGGCCAACCTGGATGCAGGGGGAGGCACGGCCCCGCTGCTCATGACTGTAGAGTGTGTCTAGCAGCCACTGGAGCTGCGCAGTGCTGGTGTAGTTCTGGCTCGAGATGATCCCAAACACCAGCACTTGGCTGGGGTCTCGAGGCACCAACAGGAAGCGCTCCAGCTCCACGTCGGAGACCCGGGGCGCCTTCACCAGGCACTTGCAGAAGCCACGGGCATCTTCCTTGTGCAACAGCTTCCGCAGCACCAGCGGGCAGTCCAAGGGCGAGGCCGCCCACCTGGTGGGGCTACGTCCCTCGCGGGCCTTCCTTCTGCAAGGAGGAGCACAGTGCACAGGGGCCCTCAGCAGGTGGTGGTGGTCCCTGACTCCCAGAGCCTCCTGGCTTCTGATGGGCAAAGGCCCTGCTGCAGGCAGATTCTGGTCTGGGTCCTGCTGCCAATGTGCTGCACCACCTTGGTTAGATCCCCTAACCTCTTTGGGCCTCTTTCTAAAGTGCAAGAAGAGAATAACAAGTTATTCCTTCACCCACGCATTTGCTCAACTAATGCTTTGGTGTCATCCTTAACTCCTTTCTCTCACACACAACACATCCCATCTAATCTTTCAGCAAGCTTGTCCTCTCTACACTCAAGACAGACCCATAATCTGACTGCTTTTCCTGCCCTCCACCCCCACGGATGTGATCCAGGTCGCCTTCATTCTTGGCTGGCTGCCTGCAAATACCTCTTAATGGATCCTGTGCTTTCTTCCTTGGCCTGTCTTCAGTCTGTTCTCCAAACAGCTGATCAAGGGATCCTGTTAAAACCTAGCCCACATCATGTCACTACTTTCCTCGAAACCCTCCAGTGGCTTTCTACCTTTTACAGAATAAAAGCTATAGTCCCTGCCATGTGCTTCAAGGCTGCAAGAATCTGGCCCCTGCATCTTGTCCCCTTACCTCTCTTACTCTCCAGCATTCTCGCCATTGCTCACTGGGCTGTGGCCACACTGGCCTGCCCCTGTCCTTTAGTCTTGGAGGATACTGGCCTTTGCTCTTCCCCCATAGAGCCATCTCACTCTCTCACTCCTTTAAGGCTCTGTCCAAATGTTACTTTCTTAATGAGATTTTCTGACTGCCTTGTTGCATCCCTCTACTCCCAAGACTCTTTCCCTTCTCTGTTTTCTATTCCTCCTTAGCATTGCTTGCTATCTAACATATCTTGTACTTTTAAATTTTATTATTGTACTTCTCTGTCCTATTAGAATGCAAGTTCCATGAGTTCATGAATTTGGAGTGTTTTATTCATTGGAATAAAACAGAAGCATTTGAAAAATAGTAAAGATTCGACAGAGATTTAATAAATATTCAAACCAATGTTTGTTGGGCCCCGCCTATGTTCCAAACACTGTGCTGGGTTGTTGTGAGGGTTGTGGCAGTTACATGGGAATAAGCGCCATCCACATAGAAAGTCCTGCTACAATTCTACCTGTATCAATATCTATTATAAGACTGTGGATGCTGTAAAATGCTAAACATGATGAAAGGCAGTAGCATATTTAGCATTTTATAGTATCACAGTCTTGGAATAGACATTGTCATGGTTAATTTTATAACAACTCTATGCAATCGGCAGGACAGAAACTCTTATTGCCATTTACAGATCACAGAACAGATGGTTCCCGCCAGGTGAATGGCTGCCCAAGTTCATATGGTAATTAAGTGGCAAGGGCTAGGATTAGAAACCAGGGCATCATGAAACAAGTGCAATGCAAGGTGAGCACTATTTCTCAGAGGCTACTAATGCTGATAAATACTCGCTGAACAAACTTGTTAAGAATATCTCTTATTCAAGAACCTGCATATCGGGGGCAGAGGAGGGTGTGGTGGACACTAGATCTATTAATTATAACTTATCCAGGGATAAGTTCAAAATAATCTAAGGTTTAAATGTGAGGCAATTAAGTCATAACATTTCTACTAGAAAACATGGGGAAATTATTCTATAATTTTTGATCCGGGAAGGCTTTTCATAATTATGACTAAAAAGTCCAGAAGTCATAATAGAAAAAGTCTGATAAAGTCAACTACATGAAAGAAAAAAGCCTCCAAAATCCCTCTGTTTCAAAAAAAAAAAATACACACACACAAAAAAACCAAAACTATCATAACCAAAGATGAAAGACAAATAACAAACTGAGAAACACATTTGAAACTCTTATCACAGAACAGTGGCCAATGTCTCCACTACGTAAAATACTACAAGTCAATTAGAAAAAGTCAATAACCCAATAAAATGTGGACAAAAGTAGTGAACAAATAATTCACAGAAAAGAATATAGGTTGTAAAACTTATAAAGGAGGGAGGGCTGGGCATGGTAGCTCACACCTGTAATCTCAGCACCTTGGGAGGCCGAGGCAGGAGGATCACTTGAGGCCAGAAGTTCCAGACATGCCTGGGAAACATAGCAAGACATCATCTCTACTAAAAACTAAAAAATTAGCCAGCCATGGTGGCACATGCCTGTAGTTCCAGCTTCTTGGGAGGCTGAGGTGGGAGGAATGCTGGAGCCCAGGAGTTCGAGGTTACAGTGAGCCATGATCACACCCCTGCACTCCAGCCTGGCAGACAGAACAAGACCCTTTCGCTAAAATAAATACAAATAAAAATTTAAAAATAAACTCATAAAAAGAGGGAGTAAAGTCACCAAAAATGGTGATTACTCTAATTTTGGAACTAAAAAACCATATCCGTTCACTAGGTCAACAATGAAGCTGGCAAACACTGTCAGAAACAACTTTAACCAGATTTCTGGAATTTAAAGAAAAAACTTGCAACAACCAAGGGAATGCTTAATTAAGAAAGATGCGGCTTAATTTTGGTAAGAAAGAACTGTAGCATTTTTAGCATATTCCCCTGCCATCCCTCATGGCCCTGTTAAGTAGCATCCATGGAATGACAGCCCCTATTCCTGGTGCAGCTTGCTAGTACCAGAGGGGACAATATGAACCTTGTTCTCTAGGAATTGTGGCTCTGTGGGCTGACATGTCTGGAGGTTCCCTGAGGGATCAGCTCAGGGCTTGACTTTATTTTATCTGCCTTGAAACTTTCTCACGGCTGGAGGAGTCCCTCCTGGGAAGCATCTGTCAGGTTCATTTAAAGACAAAGATACCAGACACAGCCTCCTGGTACAAGGGGTAACAGATGAGGCACAGATAGGTAGGCTAAACAGCCTGGGAATAAAGAGGTTGGGGAAGGAGGCATATAGGAGAATAAGGCTTTGAAAGGCTCACATGCAAACCAAGGAATATAGACACCAGGTTTGGAACCATGTTTTGAAAAGGCCTGAGAACACCCTAAGCTTTCACCTCTGGCTGATCACTGGACTTTCTGAAAGTAGAAGGTGAAGGCTAATGCAGATTAGCCTTGCTGTGGACAGCCTGGCTAACAGCATTGAATGAATGCCTCAACACAGAGCCAATCTGCAAAGACTGGAAGAGATTTGTTTTTGTTTTTGTTTTGGCTCCAGATAATCTCTGTCAAATCACTAGCTGATCTCTGTTAAATCACTTATTTAACTGAATGGAGACTATACATGACAAATGGTACAGTCTTTATAAAAATAGTTTGGAAAAGTAACTAAACAACAAACAGCTACAAACGGCAACAAGCAGCAACAACAAATATAAAGGAAAAGGGGAAATTTGATTTCCACGGTTACCACATTCTAATATTTAAAATGTTCAGTTTTCAACAACAAGAAAAACCTGAGGTATACAAAGAAACAAAAATGTATGGAAAATTCACAGGAAAAGAATTTACTAGAAACTGTCCCCAGGGAAACCCAGATATTGGACTTACTAGAGAAAGGCTTTAAATGAACTGCTTAACTTATTTAAAGAGCCAAAGGAAACCATGGAAAAACAACTAAAGGAAACCAGGAGAACAGTATCTCACCAAATAGAAAATATCAATAAAGAGAAATTATGAAAAGTAATCAATCAGAAATTCTAGAGTTAAAAAGTAAAATAACTAAAATAAAAAAATTCAATGGTAGATCTAAGCAGGCAGAAGAAAGTGTCAACAAACTTGAAGATAGGATAATTAATATTATTCGGTTTGAGGAGCAGAATGAAAAAAGAATGAAGAACAGTTAACAGAGCCTAAGATACCTGTGGGACAGCATCATACATATCCAAGACACACAATGGGAGTCCCAGAAGGACAGGAGAGAAAGGAGCAGAAAGAACATCTGAAGAAATGATTGCCTAAAACTCTCCAAATTTGATGAAAGATTTAAATCTACATATCTAAAAACCTCAACAAATTCAAAGTGGGATAAATTCAAGTATATCTACATTTACACACATTATCATAAAATTATCAAAAGACAAAGAAAAAATCTTGAAAACAATGAGAGGAGCAATGCATCAAGTTCAAGGGATCCTCAATAAGATTAATAGCCAATTACTCATCAGAAATTATGGAGGCCGAAAGGCAGAGGGAGGACATATTTAAAGTACTGAAAGAGAAACAAAAAAACCCTTGTCAACCCAGAATTTTTTTTTTTTTTTTTTTAAACAGGGTCTCATTCTGTCACCTGGGCTGGAATGCAGTGGCATGATCACAGCTCACTGCAGCCTTGACCTCCAGGGCCCAGTGATTCTCCCATCTCAACTTCCCGAGTAGCTAGGACAACAGTACCTGGCTGTTTGGTATTTTTTGCAGAGATAGGTTTTCACCATGTTTCCCAGGCTGGTCTCAAGCTCCTGGACTCCAGGAATCCGCCTGTAGAGGCCTCCCAAAGTGCTCAGATTACAGGCATGAGCCACTGCACCCAGCCTCAACCTAGAACTCTATATTGAGCAAAGCTTTCCTTCAAAACTGAAGGAGAAAATAAGACATTTCCAGATAAACACAAGCTAAGAGAGTTTGTTTCTGGTAGGCCTGTACCACAAAACATGCTATTGAGTCCAGGTTAAAATGGAAAGATACTAGACAGTAACTTGAAACTATATGAAGAAATAAATAACAATGATAAAGGTAACTACATAGGTAAACATAAAAGCAATATTGTCATATTTTTCAGTTTGTAACTTCTGGTTTTTTTCTGTATGATTTAAAAGACAAATACATAAAACAATCATTGTAAATACATGTCAATGGGCACAGAATTAATAAAGATGTTATTTATAACAATGTCAACATAAAATGCAGGGATGGGAATGAAGCTGTACAGGAGCAGACAACTTTGTACGCTACCAAAGCTAAGCTGGTATTAATTCAAACTAGATTGTTACACATTTAAGATGTTACTTATAGTCACCAGGGT